TGGACTTAAAGAGGAAAAAGATTAACTCTGTTGAATTCCAATGGATGTGTGACAGGTGTGTTTGCATCCTTCCAGTTTTTCCATTTACTTGCAAAAGTAAAGCTAACGAACCATGAACTGTCACCTTAATCTCAAATTGTGTTAGTCAAGTGAGTCTTTAAAAGAGCTATTTCCGAACACTTAAAATATTTCCGATGCAAAAGTTTCCCTTGAAAATCCATTAGTACCAGTTAATATCCAACACAATCCTGGAAAGTCAGAAAGTAAAGATATAATGTATAAATACATTTACTTTAAAAACTTTGTTATGGTTGGTGCAACAGTCTCAAGAATTTTAAGACTCAAATTTAATAGGCAAGGTCTGATTTTTGTGGGCATGTATACTGGGCCTTTAAGAGAGTGCTGTCATGAAATCTGAATCCGAGCTGGGAGCAATGTTTCATTTCAGTCATTCCAGAGCTGCATGCACGTGACTGAGCCAAACAAACTGGAACAGATATTTACCCCAAAAAAAGTAAAACATAATGCCAATGAGTAAAATTAGGAAATATCAAAATAATTTACTCTATTCGTCACTGTCATGGCTTAGAAACCTAAATCTCCCCTAATCACTCAAACCCCTCTGACCCACTTGCTGTCTGCCACAACACTGTCTATTTTTGGGATAGTAGCTCAGAGGACTGCAGCAGTGGAGGGGATACATATCTTGCATTTGCTTAGACCCTCTCTAACCCCCCTGACTGACACATTTCTACAATATCAATAACCCATGTACCCTGATGAAAAACATGGACTTTTACTGAACTTTTGGGGCCAAATATTACAGCAGAAAAGAAGATCTGATGACTTTGGTAAGGCTTTTACAATGAAATTGAATGCTGTATGATGTTATGATGTGGACAGTGCTAACTTAGATTGCACATGTTGTATCGACAATTGTGGCAGTTTGGTATTTGCTTAAGGCGGCTGCTGTAGTTCATGAAAATATCCTTTTTCATTACCATTAAATGGATGTGGTTTTGTATAACTTAAACATGCTTTAATGGGTAAAATTAATTATTAAAAAAATATTGTTCTGAATATATGTGTTTTGTTTTTTTAACACAGACATGATAAAGACTTCGATATGGTTAATGAAGTAAAATTACTCAACTTTTACCTAAGATTAACAAATGTGTATAAAATCCAGTGTTAATTTGACTAAGCAGTTTTAGTAATACACGTAAAGTGCTGTTTGATATGATACTGACTGCTGCTCAACATATGTTTCTGTTTTCCTGGGTTTTTTTTCAGAAACAACCTCCTAATTAGTTGTTCAGAGTACATAAAACACAATTCTGTGTAACTTTGTCAATACTGTAGTTACTAAAAAGTTGGAGCAAAATGGATCTTACAGCCAAACATGGGCTGGTGCTGCTCGACCAGCTTAGGAAGATGAGGGAGACTGAACACCTGACAGACGTGGTGCTGGTTGCTGAGGGCATTAGCTTTCCCTGTCACCGGGTTGTTCTAGCCGCCTTTAGCCCATACTTCCGTGTTATGTTCACATGTGGCCTGCGTGAGTGCAACAACAGAGAAATATTCCTGCGTGACACCCCTGCAGACAGCCTGGCTCTCCTCTTGAACTACATGTACTGCTCAGATCTTCCTCTCACAAACGCCAATGTGCAAGGCATCTCTATTGCAGCTTTTCTCTTGCAAATGGATGACGTCTTTATGCATTGTCGGCAGCACATGACCGAGAACATGGATGCCTCCAACTGCCTTGGTGTGTATTACTTTGCCCGTGACCTCGGTGCAGATGACCTGGCTGACCATGCTCAGCGCTTCCTGAGGCAGCACTTTGTCCAAGTCTGCCAAAATGAAGAAATCCTGGACCTAGAGGCCCATCAACTGGGTAAGCTTCTGACTTCTGATGACCTTAATGTTTCACGAGAGGAGACAATCCTGGATGTGGTCCTTCGCTGGGTCAAACACAGCCCTCTGATGGATGGAGAGGTCCGTATTCTGCACCTTCCAGAGCTCCTAAGGAAGGTCCGTCTGCCACTGATAAACCCTGACTATTTAAGAGAGGCGATGAAGAGGAACATGGCCCTGTTGTCTGATGCTGAATGTCTAGAGATGCTCAATGAAGCCTTGGAGGCCACAGCGATGCATCACTCAGCTGCACCACGCAAGCTAAAGCTGCGTTATGGCATGGAGACCACAGATCTACTGCTCTGTATCGGCAATGACAGTGGTGGGATTAGGTCAAGATATGGCAACTATGCTGAGCGCAGCTTTTGCTATGCTCCATCCACAGGCCGAACCTATTATATCACTTCCCCTCGCTACGGAGAGGCTCTGGGTTACGTGTGTGCCGGGGTTGTAACTGAAAGAAATGACATTATTGTGGCAGGAGAAGCAAGTGCACGCAGAATGGCCCGACAGAAGGACATGAATGTTGAGATTTACAGGTAAGAAAGATATTAGGCGACACATTTGATAATGCTGTATTTGCTTGCCCCCACAGATGATTGTTATCTTGCATTGCCAGGTACAAAGTAGAGGCCCAAGGAAGCTGGGAGCGATTGACATCAGCAGAGTACCGTGATTCATACGCTCTGGGATCACTGGGTGACACTCTGTACCTGCTGGGTGGGCAGATGAAGCTGAAGAACCAGTTTCTCATCACTAACTGCGTGGAGCGATGGTCTCTGCAGGGTGGCCCCTGGCGCAGTGCAGCACCCCTGCCTATGCCTTTGGCCTATCACAGCGTGGTCAGAATCAAAGACCGCCTTTATGTGATAGGGGGTCGAACACCACAGGTGAAAAAATACATACATACAGTATGTGTGCAATTATTTGGCTCTTGTGAAATCTAGAATATCTGAATTCATAAACACATTTAATATGAGTTCTTCTCTGACTACACCTGCTCTGCTTTTGCCATTACCTTCCTCCCCTTCAACCATCCAGTCATACCGGATGGATGATGAGCCTGACCGTCTTAGTAACCGCCTCCTGGAGTATGATCCAAACACAAATAAGTGGACAGAGCTAGGGCCCATGAAGTACTCAAAGTACCGCTGCAGTGCTGTTGTACTCAACGGTGAAATTTTCGTGATGGGTAAGATTATTTGTTCACTTTACATGTTAAGAAAATTACCTATTTTAATGCATGTTGAGTTTAAATGATGGGCCCATCATTTCTTTTAAATTGCAAATCTTTATTGAGATGCATAGATAGACATTATATTATCAAGATCCTGCTAAATGAATTGAGCTGTGTTTAGAATTAATAAGTAAGAATTACATTTACAGAATTATGCTGTTTAGTGATAAAAACCTATTTTGCAGGTGGTATTGGATGTGAGGGTGTGGACCGTGGGCAGTCACGTCACTGCCTCGATGTTGTGGAGATCTACAACCCAGATGGAGACTACTGGAGGGATGGTCCTCCTCTCCCGTGTGCACAACTCTCACTGCGCACCAACGCCCCTAACGCAGGAGTGGTGGGAGGCAAGATTTATGTGTGTGGATACTACAAAGGAGCAGGTAATGAAAGAACATCCATACCCAATGAATGAAAAGTGACCAAGTGACTGTAACACCATTTCTGTTTCTTAACTACCCCTAGATCGTCATGATGATATAACAAAGGACATTTTGGAGCTGGACCCATGGGAAAACCGGTGGACAGTGGTGGCTCGGCGCGCTCTGATGCATGACAATTATGACGCCTGCTTAGTGGCAAATCTCAACCCAAGGGGACTCATGTCCCCACCTGCAGACTTAGTTAAACTGTGACACTCGGGTCATATCAGATCAAAGTCTGTAAGGGAGAATTAGTGAAGGAAATTAATTATTAATTAATGCACTTATTGCTGGGCCAAAGGCATTCATTTTTTCAAGCAGAACAGGTCTTAGTGCCCTGCCTGAAAGAGGATCTGCAGTTATTGATTTGCACGTTGTTAGAATAATGGACAGATCATTTGTAAATACAATATTTAGGGTTTTTTTTAATCTAAGTGCATCATCTGAAATCTGCAGCTGTGTGGCACATCAGCAACAACAGGAAATTAGTTCCTTTGACAATAAACAGACATAAATTATGGTTGTAATTAGGGCTGCAAATAATGATTATTTTCAAAGAACAAAATTTCAAAGAAAAACATCACCACATTGGAGAAGCTGGAACCAGAAGATTTAGGATATATAATTACTGAGCCAATCATTAGGATAGTTTCAGAAAAAACATTCTGTCAATCAACCAATTACAGCTCCAGTTATAATTATGGACTTCTGGCTTTATGATAAATTATACCAAAATGGGAGAAAGTATTTGGTCTGTTATTATAGGGTGAATACTGAAGCTTCATAATGACTACATTATATTGGCAGACTACATACAGTACAAAATGTGAAATTTTACATTGTATTAATCACTTTCCTTATTTGATTTGTGTTATGCTGGCTAAAGCAGAAGAAAACTGTTTTCTGCTAATAAACATGCACCTTAGTGACATTGTGGAGTATGGTGGTTATGATTTGAACAGACACTACACATAAAATTAGGTGTAGCTGGTTAAACTAATGCAGTCTAATACAATAGCCCTGCAGTAAATCCTGCTTCATGAAGAATTTATTAATAAATATTTAGTCAGAATTGTGATTAGTTTGCAAAGCCTTTCAGTTTATTTTCAATTTCAACTCAGCAGAATAAATACAGAATAGGCTAATTTTTCAAAAGTAAGCAGAGACATTTAACAACACTTCTCAGCTGAAAAATGAACATTTAAATCTTCAAATATTTGCAATACTTTGGGGGCCACTTTGTCCTTAACTTGCTTGTCATTACTACTGTAATACACCCCCCCCCCCCACACACACACACACACACAAACCAATGTGTTCATTCTTCAAAAAAACTCTACAACTAATAGATCAGGTAATAAATATATTTTGAGCTTTTACTTCGCCTGTACACCACAAATAAGAACACAAATGCTTCACTGCTCTGAATCCTTCACTCATCCTCTAAGAGCCTAAATCAGAATCACAATCAATGTCAAAAAGCTGCCAGAGGCTTTTGGGTTCCGCTCGGGTCCCCGTCCTGGACTCAGCCGATACCTTTTCTAAGGTGGAATCGATTCCTGCGAGGTACACAGAGCTGTTGCTGTCCTGAGACCAGCAGCTGAGAGGGGTGATGAAACATCCCGCAGCCATGGATCTCGTGTCTCTGTTCAATGGTATCAGACAGTCTGGGGTAAGACTATCCTGGCAGGTTACCCGGTTCACATCACGACGCTCACAGAGAGGAGCTGAAACATTTTGTCGTTTGTTACAGTTTGTGAGAACATGACTGTTTTCATCCGTGACAGAGCGCTTACTCTTCTGTGAGAGAACCAGCGGCCTCTTTTTGTGTCTCCTATAGCCTCTAGAAGTGAATTTCCTCTTTCCTATTATGCCGCTGGGGTCCTGAGAGGGAAAAACAGTTTGATTGTATTCACGGTTGTTTGACATACATGTAAGCTGTGTGCCCTTGAGCGTGTTGTCCTGCAGCATGTTGGAGTGTGGCTTCTCCAGCCCTGGTGACGTCTGTACGGTGCTGTCCATCACTCTCTCAGCGCTGGGTTTGGCTGAGTGCTCTGAGACTAAGGTGCTGAGCAGCTTCAGAGCCTCTTCAAGTATGTTTCGTTCTCTCTCCTGCTCCCCTCTGAGACACCCCAGACTATTATTTAAGCTTTGAAGATATGAATGAAGTTCTGCTGTGGTGTGTCCACTCTAAATGATAAAAATGAACAATTATACTCATTACTAATCAGAAACATTTATTGAAACTGGACTGATGTTGCTCATAAGCTACATACATACACACTATTCACCTTTTGCACCCTCTCCTCCAGTTCAGTTATCATCTCTTTCTGGGAGTTGACTTTATTCAGCAAAGTCTCAAACTGCTGGGAAATGTCACTGTGAAAACTGTTAAGATTATTTTCCACTGAAATAATGAAAAGATAGAAATTAGCATATTAAAATAAATGCCATCTTATTGCACTAAAGTTAATTCTATTTAATAATGTATGGTACTATATAGTAATTTTAGGATTTAGAATTGAGCAACCAATATTTAATCGCTGGGCAGAGGGCGCCATCCATTGGCGATAAGAAATGTTTGCTCTCTGCATTTTTACTAAATCAACTAGATCAACATATCTTATGCAGAGAGCAACCTTAAGGTCAATCATTTCAACAAAAAATGTAATCACTCAATTAGGAAACTTACATGTTGACACAAAATTGTCAAATTTTTGAAGGACTGTTTGGCACACAGCAGTGTTTCTCTCTGTGCCAGCGACCAGCTGCTGGATCTGAAAAAGATTGCAGCAATTTTTATTTTTTTTTACATTGAGAAGAGAGGAGCTTAATATATATATATATATATATATATATATATATATATAATAATAATAAAAAGAAACAGCGTGGAAGCCTAAAATCACTTACATTGTTGAGAGTTTCTCGAAAATGACGACATTCTTTGGCTAAAATATCACTGTTAAAGCAGAAGGACAGAAGTACACATTTCAAAAGTTATGAGGACTACTTTTTTTTAATCATCCCATAAGTTTGAATTCGAGGTGAGTTATTTCAAGTGATATACGCAAGTACCTGTCAGTTTTTTCTTTTGCCCTTTTCTTGTCCTCCTCAAATTTATCCAATATTCCAAAAGCTTTGTTTTTGTCCTTTAATTCTCCAAACAGGAGAGGTTTGGTGTGATAAGTGTTGATAAACTTTGGGTCACTTCCCTAAATAATGGGAAAATACTGACGGTTAGGGATGTTGACACAAGACATAGTTTAACTATTTTTCCGATAATCTCAGTGATGATTAACAAAACTGAATGCACTCATGGTCCTATGGGTAAAGTTTTCCGAATGACAGTATGTTATCAACCAAATGGAAAACATTTCATGCAAAGAAACAAGTGGCCTCCTAAATTACCACACTTGATCATCATGGCCTAATTTCAGTGAAATAGAGTCTTACAATAATGTATATGCATATATAGTATATAGACTAGATCGTTGTTTAAACAGCTCTGACTATAGTACAGCACTATAAGAATACCTTTGCTTGTTGCTAACAGACAATATAGAAAAATCTGATGGTAATCATTTCTATTGTCTCACAGTATATACACTCATCATACCACCAAAACCTGCAAACATCTCATGTGGTTGAAATTGTGGTTTTATTTTGTCTATCTAGACCTCCGTAATGTTACAATCTTTTTAGTTATATAATTTGAATAATAAACTATGAAGTTGCTAAACAAACAAAAGTCTCTGGTGGTAATGAGTTTTGATTTTCTAACAGTACAACCCACCTACAAATATCCATGTCAGCTGTCCCGCTGTCACCTTTTACTCACGTATGAATATTTTACCATGTGAGTGTAACCATGTAAATAATAATGCCATTAAACTGGTGGCATTTGTCCAGGCATCCGAGTACACAAATGTATTAGGCTACTCACAGTGAGCCACCTATAAAGTGAAATCTTACCTCTTGTGAACTTTGCTGGGAGGTCCTTGTTGACAAACTCATATCTTGAGATGTGCCTTGAGAATTTTCAGGCCAAAACTGAGTCCCAAAGAAAAGCTGAGAGTCTGTGAAACTTGAGTAGCCACTGGTAGCCACATTCCTGTTGAGTGTTTGCCCACACAAGGTTTGGTAAGAGAAGGAAACACAGAAACACAATGGAAACAAAGAAACTAAAATGTGTTTGTGGAAATCAAGTAAACACACATTGATCCACCAAGGTGTTGATGACCAAGTGTTATTACACTGTTTTCAGATTAAAAACTATTGACTGAAGCCTCATATAACATTATTCACAGCTGTAGAGAGAATAGCTAATCAATCATTGTTAAGTAACTTAGCACACTTTAGCTAACCACCTGCTTCCAGTTGGGATGCTCAGCATTTCTTTAATGTTCCTCATATGATTCATTGCGTTTGGTTACCTGTATGTAAAAATAACAAGTTAGTAGCAATTTTAGCAAGCTATCCCTTCTTCAGAGCATCAAGTAAGCAGCTGACACATGTGTTGGAGTCATGAAAGTTAGCGTCAGTTAGCATAAAAGCTAGTTAATCGAGAAAGGGCTTAGCTAACTTTAATTAACATGGAATCAATTTAAACTGGAGTTAATTAACTGTATAACTAGAACATCGTATCAAACCTTTACCACATGCTGTTAAGTTTAGTAGTGTACAGTTATTATCTTGAATTAAACGCTAAAATACTTTTAAATTGACTCACAGTAAGGTTAGGTGTGATGAAGAGGGGGACATCGATACTGAACTGAATAAAAAAGTAGTTACGTTATGCTCGCGAACATTTAAATTTCCCGCCATGTGGCCTTCCAGAGGGAGGCAAGGCTGCATTCAGGTGGCGTCGAAAAAGTGCAAATTACAAGGATCAAAACAAACGTTGAACAAACACTCGAGGGCATTTTTGTTAATTTATTCATCCGTTTATTTATTCATTGGCTTTGTCAACATTTATTTTTCCAGCATGTAGACTCGCTGTTTGGGTTCTTAAAGATGTCAGATAGAAACAATAAATCAGTTTGTCAGTATGTTCACTGGATGCATGGCACACCTGTTGGTGGGCATTTTGCTTATTAGGGTGTTTGTGAGTAACAATAGGCCCTAGTTAGTTTTAGTTAGTAAGTTAGTTAGTTAGGAACTTTATTGTCCATGTTGTGGAAAATTGTCTTTGGCATTGAAAACAATACAAGCAAATTGGACAATGATGATGCATTACCTTATTGCTAATTCCATTAATGTAGGTTAACTATGCCCCTAGGCTCACATTGTGAACTGGTTTTGGTATTTGAATCATTGTAAATCTGTTTTGCACCACTAAAAAACAATATTCTACATTACAATATTAACTAATTCTGTGTCCATGTCTTGTAGAGGGCCCAACATCAAATTCAAGTTTTAAGAGCTTTATTATTTAACTCACATGATGATGTATATTCCTAATATAGTTAATAATTAAATTACCACAGTTCAAATACACATTTAAATTTGACGCTCAGATATTGTGACTTCTAAAACACATATATAACAAAAAAAAAAAAAAAAAAAAAACTTTCCACCAGTTTTAGGCTACTCTAAATGGAGCCTGTCTATGATATTTATTGTATATTAAAGACTTATCACTTTTTAATTTTTTTCTTAAGTAAGTGATTTGAATGTATGATGAATTGTATTTATTATTATTAATAGTAGTAGTAGAAATAAAAGTCAGAATTGACTTTGGGACACAACTCCAGTTCTCCTGCAAGAGCATCACTTTGTGTTGAAAAGTGTTGGCACATAAGGGCTCAGATTAGGGGTGTGACGATATACTTAGCTCAGGAGACCTGATGAAGCACAATATTAGGTTTACACGAACAAGACCAGAAGATATTTTAACAATACTATGAATAAATCTTCAAAGCTGAAATATATGAGCGTCCTCCCCCAGAACATTTTGAGCATTAAACACTTAATTTCATGCATTGTGGTGAAATTCCTGCACCAATTTAGGGTGGCAATGTCTTTATTTATATAAAGAGAAACACAAAATTCAGGCGACATGTATAAAATATAAAATAATGGAATATAATACAGTAATCAGTAGCTTGTTTTTCATAGATTAAGATACGTTTTTGGATAATGCACATTTGTTTCTTCTATATTTACATTACATTGCATGTTTTATTATTGTACAAATGAACCTTTCTCAAAGCAGTTTAATTTGTTATTTAACATTTGCCTTGCAAGCTATTTTTCCAGAATTCTTTTAACAAATGTTTTCAAAAATCGATGGAGGCAAAATCAGCCATATCAAAAAATGGTGGTGACATGTCTACAGCGTCCCCAGTGTAAATGACAACCATGCGCCTGGGTGAAAGTCCTGTGTTTGTTCTTCCACGCCCCCGACCTCGCACCTTGACCCTAGCAGTGTCTCAATTCAGGGAGACTCATCCAGGGTCATCCACCTACCGAAGACCCAGGATGAGTTACAACCGATATCCCGTGGGTTTGCAGGGCTGGCAAGACACAGAACCTTTTTTAAAGCAGCTGGAGCAATCGATGGCTGCCATGTCCGCATCAAGCCACCGAGCGGCCCTGATGGTCAGTGCTATAGGAACAGGAAACTGTTTCCATCCATCATCCTGCAGGCTGTCTGTGACCATCAGGGCCGCTTCATTGACACCTACGTGGGCTGGCCTGGGTCGGTCCACGACTCCAGAGTGCTCCGCTACAGCCCACTGTACAGGAGTTCACTCTACCCTCCTCCAGGGCATTTCATCTTCATCATCTTCAACACCCACTCCCCCTCATCACTCCCTACAAGAGGCCAATACAAGGTGTGGGAGCCCAGCGCTTCAACAGCCATCACTCCAGGGCACGATCCATTATAGAGCGTGCTTTTGGGATGATGAAGACCAGGTTCCGGGCCATCTTCCTGCAAGCGCTGGAGGTGCACCACACCTTTGTACCTCACGTGAGTATTTTCTTTACTGTACTAATGAGTAAATCAACAGACAGATTCATCAAAAAGCATAAATGTTTTGTTTTTTTTCCAGACTGAAATATATTTTTAACCATTTAAGGTCATAACAGCATGTGCCATCCTCCACATCTGCCTTGATGCTGGTGATATTGTGGCCCCAGAGGATGAGCCTGAGGAGGACGAGGCAGAGGATGAGGGGGAGAACGGTTTGGAGACAGTTAGCGGTGCTCCCTGCTAACCCACTGATGGACGATGCGGTGGACAGTGGAGAGATGCATCCACACCTGCAACACGCTCTGGAGACCACCCCAGATGATGTCCTGCTGACCAGGGTCTTTATTGTGGCAGCCCATCCAGGTCCAGCAGCATTACCAGGGTTTCCCTGCTCAGAATAAATGTTGTAAATATGCTGTAAATACTATTAGTTATAAAGACCACAGAAAATAAAATCATTAATTTAACAAATATTTTATTTGAATTGATTAATAAATATTATATATTATTATTTAAGGATTTATTTATTTTTCGGCCAGTCTCTCTAGTAGAGAGAACAGCCTGTCCATCCTCTCTCTGCTCTCCTGTGCTCTCCTCTCCTCTGCCTCTCTCTGCAACTTCATGTCTTCCTTCAGTAGCTGAAGCAGCTCATCCTCTTTGTCCCTCTTTCTCTTTCTCGGCTGGCTCTCCTCCTCCTCCTCTTCCTCCTCCTGGTCACCCACTGCAGCACTTGGCCCTGGTGTGTCCTCAGGGATAGAGGCAATTATGACAGGTGGGGTGGTGGAATGCCTCTGTCCCAACACCTCATCCATGAGGACAAACCAGGGCCAAGTTGCAGCAGTGGGCTTCCCCCCTACACCCTCTCCTGACCCTGGACACTTGCACTCCTAAGGCACAGGAAATCAATCATGGTAAATAACAACAGCAGAAAAACAAATTTCAGCAACTGTGTTTATTAACGTGCATGACTGAAATGAATATACAAGGTAAATGTATGTATTATATTAAAACAGGGTTGTAAGATGAATGCGGTTTATATTTCCCTTTATGCTGCACAGTGAACGATTTATACAAAAATGTATACAGAATATATCAATTTCAAATCATACATACATACCTTGTTTGTTTTTGTTTTTTTAAATTGTCCCACTTTTTTTTTCCACTTGGAGGGAAGTCACCTTCCCCCACAGGCCCATTTTCTCCAAAATTGTCCTAATCACAGAGAAACAAAAGAAATAAGAAAGACAAGATAAGATAAGAAAAAAACATTATTTGTCCCACAGTGGGGAAATTGCGGTACATGGTAATTGTGTGAAGACACAACAAAGGGCTGCCCCATTTACTAGTTGTCTTATTATTAAAGGCTTTGAATAGGATGGCGGCTCATTTAACTGTAACTTTAAGTACACGATGATTAAATTCAGATCTTGCGAAAGGGCTATTGATACTTTAATTACCTCCAAGCCACGTTGGCAGAAAACTTTGCCCCGGTGAAGAGGTGGTCGCTCTCCCCCCTCAATTTAATAAAGAGGGCAGTTTGCTCCTTGCTCCCTAAAACAAGACGACATGTTCAAGTAAGTTTTATGCTTCACATCACCAAACAGTAAGCAGCATAAATCGCAAAATAACCTAGTTACATTAACCGTGTACTATATCCCAAGGTTTTTGTAACCGTTAATAACGTTAACGGTGTGAAAACCAAGCAGGGTTCACAACCCGTCTAACGTTAAATTAGTCTAAAGTTACATGGTCACGTTATTTTCATGTACATAATATTAAGTATAAGTGATGTAGAATATCGCAACAATCTCAGTAAGACGCAGGTCTGACTCTGAACCTCTTCGATTTAAAGTGAAGACGTTAAAGGCTTTATTTTTGAGGTTGTAACTTGCCCAGCCGATTTGCATTTAACGTTAACGTTAGCACATCAGTAACCTCAGGTAACGTTAACTTAACGTTAGCTCGCCAGTTAATCACTTAACTCACGTAAACTTCTTCCACAAAACTATTCTTTAAACGACACATTGCGCTTTTATGCCTCTTGTTATTTTTACATATGTGTAGTTGGCTTTTGAAGTGAGTTGAAATCCAATACTTACATTTATAGGTAAAATTCGGGGGCTCAACTCCACAGCCACAATCGACGCCATTATTTACGCTGGGACAATCAACCGGCGCGCAATGAATGTCGGGATACCTGGGGGCTGCGAAGGATCCAGCTGTTGGATCCAAACTCCTTCGTCTAGTGCGCATGTGCGAGACAAAAACAGTCTTTTGCTTTTATTTTGAAAATCATGCCCGGAAGTGTATTAGCTAAATGAAGCAGGGAGCAATGAACTACGCACTGTAGGATTATCTCTGCTTTGACTGCAGAGGTGTGTTGATGACAAAGCTGTCAAGAATATAAGTGAGTGCCTAGTATTACTTCTGCGACTTGACGTTGATTAAACCACACCTAGGAGAGTCTGGTGAGGTCAAAGCCTAACGTTAGTGTTTGGCTGGTGAGTGAACTCTTTTGTGTTTTCAAATTCAGCAATGTGCAGCTGCTCAGTCTGTGATTGTAAACACGCCCGATAATGTAAAACAGCTTTATATAGATCAGCAAATCTGCCTCTCTAACGCAGACATCGTTACTTTAGCTTTGACTGCTAAATTAGCACAATCCCACGACACAACTTCATCCCTATGACAGGTGCTAGCTAGCTAAACACCTCGGCTGGATCCTGGGATATTGTAACAGCTGACACGTTAGCTACGTTGCTTTACTCATGGAATAATAATATAGCATTAAATACAAAAGTTGTAACGTAAAGACAGGCATAAAAGTGGACTGTTGATCTTTGTGTGCTCGTGTTTAACCT